TATGACGAGTTCTCCATGTAAGCCCCTTTTTTTGAATCTGGGCTCGCACACAGCCCTGAACCCTAAACCCTGAACCCCAACCCCTAAACCGTAAAGGCCCTAAACCCTAAACCCTGAACCCTTATAAACCCCAAAGCCCCTACATGCTCCATCCGAAGCCCTCCACTCGCTTGCAGTAAAGTCAGGTGAAGCCCGTAGAATTACTTTGAAGTTCCCTGGAACCTTGGAAAAAAAAACTCATTTCAGCTTGTTCTTAGGATTATAGATGACAGAAAATGGGAAACACAAGTCTCCAGCAACTTCCTGTTACTCCTACCCAGAAAACCTCTATGCCTTAATTGGGGAATGTACCCTAAATGGTATATTCCCTAATTTCCAGGATGCATTGGGCTTTCCGGGCAAAAGTGCCTAAGGCTCCCGTAAACCCTAAACCTTAAGTCTAAACCCTTAGCCCTAAATCCTAAACCCCAAAACCCTTATGAACCCAAAACCCTAAACCCCAAACCCTAAACCCCAAACCCTAAACCCTAAACCGCTCTGCTTCAAAGGCGCCTCCTTGGCTTCGTCCGCCTGCCAGGGCCTGACGATCAGCTGGGTCTACTTATTTAGGATTTAGGGTTTTGGGTTTAGGGTTTAAAGTTTGGGGTTTAGGATTTAGGGTTTAGGATTTAGGGATTAGGGTTTAGGATTTTGGGTTTAGGGTTGGAGGCTCAGGGTACATAGTGACTAATAATGAGCTTGGGGTTTTTTAGGGCGAATAATCAGTCAGTTTTGGTAAAGTTTTGGGGCCCAGGGTAGCGCAGCCCAAGTATAGTTGCATGGATTACCCAAGCAGAAGGGCCCCAAGTCCTTAATATGGGCATAACTGGTTAATTACGAGTAACCTGAACCTCCGCGCAGGCTTCATGGTTAAAGGCTTCAGTTCTACTTAGGTGTCCAGCCAAGATTAACTGTTGGTCTACAGTGGACTGGCGGGTGGGGCCGGGGAGCTGGTCGGAGTAGTCCCATACGGTGTAGGAAACTTTCAAAACATGCTTTACCCGTTTAGGGCTTAGGGTTAGATTGAAAAAAGATTGGGTTCTTACTTACTTTGGGAACTTGTCATTTTGGTGTTCCGTAAGCTGTATGCCAAAGCCCGTGGCTCTTGGTTCCCAGCGCAATGCGTCGACGAAACTTCTCTGAACCCTAAACCCTATGTGGACCCCCCACCCAGTAATAGTGACTATAAGGGATAATAGGGATTATATGCCTCCTAACCTATCCTATACCCTAAACCCCAATGCTTTGGCAAGCCTATCCTGCAAGACCCAATGCCAAGGATGCGCCAAAGACCAATGTTGGAAACGGAATATGTTGTATTACAGGGTCGGGCGCTTAAAACATGCTACATGACTCACATATCCCGACATGACCTTCTATAACCCTATATCCTTAAATCTCCACAATATTCACGGGAAGGGGGGGTAATGATCCCTAAACCCTAAACCCCAATCCGACCTTAAACCGTGTTTTCATCAGAAAGCTCAGCCTTACAGTGAGCTGCCCATCAGCTCCACGATGTAACTCCCCCACGACCTTTGGGTTTGGGGTTTAGGGTTTAGGGACCTGACATCTAGGGTCCAGGGTCTTTAGGGTTTGTGGGGCTTAGGGTTGTTGGGGTGTTTGGGATTTGGGGTCTTTTGGGTTTTTAGGGTTTAGGCTTTTGGGTGTTTATCGTCTTTAGGTTCTAGGATCTTACCTAATGGGAGTACGTAGGTTACTGGGTTAGGGCTTGAGGTTCAGGACATTGAACATTGAACACTCAGCCCTCGCATGCAACATTCCCTGCCACAGACCTTACATACCCGAGGGGGTTGTATTAGTTGGGTAGTATTGCATTAAATCCTAAGCTCTAAACCTTAATTACATTAAATCCTAAGCTCTAAACCCTAAACCATTTCTCCTAAACCCTAGACCCTAATAATTTTACCCATCAACGTACTGGAGGATCCTGAATCTCTACATCCTTCGCCTCCTGGAGCTTGGCTCAAGAAAGATGGGTTTAGGGTTTAGGGGTTTAGGGGTTTAGGGTTGTCACATCCACGTTTGCCATGTAAGAATTTCACAACCAATTCCTTTCCAAGCCCTCATTGGAGAAACCTCTTATGCCTGTCCCCGAGACTGGTGGAGCCTATAGGTATGCTGAGGGACCACCTTAGAAGGAATATGGTCCTGGCTCAAAAGCTCCCAGGTTGAAAAACTCTCTGAACATTCAAACGAAAATATAGATTTGGGCGTCTGAGAGGAGGGATTTCTGGAACAGAATCCTTAGGTAATTCAAATGGACCCTTACAATCTAGCATGAGCGCTTTTGTATGTGCCGTGGTCTACACCCAGGTTGTCCAGGTCTCTGAGCACCTGCGTTCAGAACAGAATGAACTCAGCATTCCGAATGTGATCTTGGGTATACTGAGTGCTCCATGTTCTTTGGGTTTATGGTCCCCTTAAGTAGATAGAATATGGCTTTGGCTACATTATAACACGATCCCCATATACCCCATATTCTATCTACTTAAGGGGGACTACAGGTTTACCTAAACTGATCACAGTCTGATTTTGCTGATGGACTCGGCTTGCTATGACTTGGAGATAGTGAGAGCCAATCAGCCCCAATTAATCGGGAACCTGGGGTGGTGAAGCATGGGAAAACCCTAAACCCCAAACCCTAAAACCCTAAAACCCTAAACCCTAAGAAAGCAGGCGAACCCATGATGTCAGCCTCGTCTGCAGACATGGTTCCAGCCTACTCCGGGCCCCTGTACAATCAGGATGCCTCAATCGGATGCTCTGATTCCTTGGCCCGAAGGCCCCGAGCTAGCTTATAATCCCCTCCCTCTAATATTACACCCCCCCACCCCCCTAATGTTCAATACTCCCATTATATGTTGTAGTACATTGGGAACGTTTAATATTGGGGGGATTGGATGGTTCAATATTAGGGGAGGGGATTACTGCCCCTAAGCCAACAGCTGGTCCCTTTGTATTCCTTGTTGGGGTATAATGCAAAAGCGTGACTTTATATTGCTGCTACTGCTTCAGTCTACTAGGAATTGGCAACCAGATCCAACAATGAGCCAGTAAGCCCTAAACCTAAACCCTCAACAAAACTCTGTGTTCCTGTGGGGCTATGAGTGCCCGGCTGTGACAGTTGAGCCCACAAGCAAAGCGCATTCCTGCCCGCTACGGTTTAGGGTTTGCGGTTTAGGGAGATTCGCATGAACGCAACAAAATCGGATCTCCGCAGCACGGACCCTGTGCGTGCATTACGTGTCATAGCAGGGGGGCTATACCTATAATAGGCAGTATAACATCTTCGGCTCAAGATTTGAGCCCCCCATGTGGCCCAAACGCTATACCCTAAATCTTTGCGAGCCCCCATACTAAAGGATCAAAGAATGAACAAACAAGCAAATCACAATGACTGTAGGCTTTTCGGGTCTGGGAAATTAATGCTAAGGGAATGCAAAGCTGGAAGTGCAAAATAATGTAGAATTGGGGATTATAAAGGGCCTTCTGTAGATTTTCATCTCCATTCTACCTATAATGTAGAATTGGGTGTTTATAAAAGGTCTACTATAGATTTTCATCTCGATTCTACAAAAAACAGCACGAGAATTCTGCCAAGCAAACGTCAGGTACTTGTAAGCTTTGCAACGCTATGCCTGGGATTTCCGGAAAATTTCAGGCAAGCTGTTTAAGCAACGACGCCGGGAGCTGGAGGGAAGGATGTTAGGCTTCAATCTCCTGCAGCTTATGCCTTTTTCTAATCCTTGTTATGAATAAGCGTGTGACGGGATGCTGGGAGCTAGCGTGCCTCCAAAGCTACACCCCTTACAAAGAGCCTTGCAAAAAAGGGAAACGTACTTTTTGTTCTTGCAGAAATGGATCCTTACAGTAGCCCTTTTATAATCCCTGATAGTTAATACAATAGCTTTCATTTTCCTTTCTATTCCTTCATTCCCTACTAACAACCAGCAAGCAGTGTCCTGAAACTCCAGAATCGCGTCATCTGCACCTGAGCTGCACAGGAGTGATGTCTCAAGACGGTTCTCACACGAGAGTTGCCTTGAATACCTCTGGGTATATGTAGGTTGCCAAAAGTTTTGTGCTAAACCCTAAACCCTACCCTGAACCCTAAACCCTAAACCCTAAAACCACGGGATGATGGGGATTCCTTTGAGAACCGACTTACAAAAACTTTATGGTTCAGAAGTATGGGAGTCTAGTAATCCCCTCCCCTAATGTTAAACCCCCCACCCACCCACCCCTAATACTAAATACTCCTAATATACTTGATATACCACATAACGGGAGTATCTAAGATTTTGGGCGGGGGGGTTTTGACGTTAGGCGGAAGGTATTATGTGAATTATATGAACCCTACATTGTCCACATTACAGCCGGGCTCCAAAAAACAGAGGCCCTCTTGCAGGATCTGCATGAAGAGTATCAAAGACGCTCTGCAACTGTCCTTACATGTAGTTTCTCAAAATAAGGGGACCCCAATGTAGACCCCAAAATCTTATAATCCTTATTGTGGGGACCCCCAAGAAGGTAGCCCCCACTTTTGGGGAACCCCCCAACATCCTCTCACAGGCCGTCCTGGTCTTATCTCCTGAAAAACATGCTCAGGCTTAACACCCACCTTTGATAACTTCAGAGCCGCCTCACTGTAATATGCCATGAAAGGCAAAGGTCCCAATGCGGTAACACTATATACTGGTGGGGGGGGGGGGGTATTATTAGGCGAAAGGGGGAACCCTAAACCCTAAACCCTCTAAACCCTAAACCTTAAACCCTCTAAACCCTAAACCCTCTAAGCCCTAAACCCTTAACCCGCAAACTCTTAAACCCTAAACCCTAAACCCCTAAACCGTAAACCCTAAACCCTAAATCCTAAACCCCCTAAATTGTTTGGATCCGCCTGGTCTGCTATGCCTTTGCCGGCCTGGGACTCCCACGGAGAGAGGAGCTTGCAGCCCATTCATGGCCTGTTCACAGGGTTTAGGGTTGAGGGTTTAGGGGTTTAGGGTTTAAGGGTTTCAAAGTTTAGGGTTTAAGGGTTTAGGGTTTAAGGGTTTAGAGTTTTAGGGTTTAGGGTTGGGTTCCCTAAACGTCCGCAACAAATATCAATTTGGGTGTATAGTCTCCCTTAAGTAGATAGAATTTGGCTCTGGGTACATTTATAATAAGATCCCCATATACCCCATATTCAATCTATCTAAGGGGGACCATATTCTCAAAACCTGGCTTGAAACACTTGGGAAGGAGAACATATCGGGAACTCTGTTTCATGCAAGGGAGACTGGGCTTGTGGGATTTGCTAGCCCGGAGGCGGGATCTTTATGCGCTTGTGTAAGACTCTTCCAAATTTAGATAAGTGATAACACACCTTGACATGGCAAAGGGCCATGTCGGGAAATAGAACTCTCAACCCTAAACTTGGGGCTCGGGGTTGAAGGGCTACAAGGTTGAGGCTGTTGTTGCGAGGCGAACTCTTGTCTCCAGTCGCTTCCCCCAGCTACAGGGTGTCCGGAACATGATCCATGGACGCGTGCCATCAACAACCATCATGAATTCCTGAATTACCTCCGAATCATCAGGAGTCCCCATTAATTTAAGGCCCCCCTAAAGCCCCAGACATGACTCGCCGAAACCTAAATCTTTGCTCCTTCTGGACTTGTTGCAGCAGAATCTTAACCCTCCCTCTCTCTCACATGCCCAGGCAGACCTGTCAGGCTACTTTCAGAATCTTAACCCTATAATCCCCCTTAAGTAGATAGAATATGGGATATATCGGGATCTTACTATAATATGCCCGAAGCCATATTCTATCTACTCAAGGGGGACTAAAAACCCTTAAACTCAGAAACCTAAAGATGACCCCGGCCATTCAGAATCAACATCTTCAAAAGTGCCCCAATGCACACGGCGTAGGCACCTGCACAGCCACTAATGGTGCTCCCGTGCGTAGCACTCTTACGCAGCTTTATGGCAACATCTCAAGGCTTCTGTTCCCACTGTACTGGACCCTGTCCCGAGTGATGCCTTGTGGTGCTGCAGAACGGTGCGTTAGAACGAAATCCTGGCTTCCAGGTGTACCAAGGGACCACTAAGGGAGAACATCGAGAGTTTTCTGGTAGTTTTGTCTAGTATCTCTATTTCCTATTAGGAACCCATGTCCATTAGTATTCTTATCTGGGAAGTCTTGCCTAGCTCATACGAGGTCCTTCTAGGCCTATAAGCCCGCCCTGCCGTCCTAATCTTGACAGTAGCTCACATAATTCCGAAAAACGGCTATATAATCCCAGGTTCCAATTCCTCTTCCATGTCATAGACATTCTCCATTTTGGGGGGTTAACATCCATGGTCAAATAATCGGGTAGTAAGTGTTCAACAATCCTGTCCCCAAAAAGCCAGAAGTAGGTTCCCTTTTCGGATCTCTTTGAACTGGCACCTCCTTTACAGGACCCCTAGAACGGCCTCTATCTGAAGGTGTGTCACAATTATGCCGTCTTTTTGGGTACCCTACATAGGGTCTAGACACCATGATAATTTCCTTTTCCGTTATCCCATAATTACCCCAAATTGTAGCTTTCAATTTCTTTTTCCATTATCCCATACTATAACAGAATGGAGCACTAGACTCCACCTCTCGGCTTTAAAGTCTGCATCCCTATAAGAAAAGGTTTCTACAAAATTGGGATACGGTAGCGTATAAGTTGCCACAAAAACTGGGGTACCTTAGGGTTTAGTGCTTCTGATCTTCCACAAAATTGGGGTGCGGTAGGGTTCAGAGCGTAGAGCTTACGGTTTTCCACGACATTCGGGTGCAGTAGGGGCCTAAACAGCCGCTGCGTTCTCTGGGAATCGGCAGAACACCCAAGCCCCTGGAAACCTAAACCCTGAAGGGCCCATGTACCCGTATAGTCTCCCTAAACCCTAAACCCTTATAGTATATACCTTAGGCCCAAAGGGTGCTATATAGGTACTTTGGGGCCTCACTATACACTATATCGGTACGTGGACCCTTTGGGAACAACCGAAAACAAAATCCGCTTCCCACGCAACTATCTGTAGATTAGGGCCGTTCCCTAAGAAGTGAGTGTTTTGGGTACAACCTTATTCCTTCTGGTTATTTGTGGGAACTGAGTCCACAGGTCCTGCCAGTTGTCTGGCGAAGCACCGAAGGTTGTCTGCTCCTCGCAGCGCCCCTGCGCGGTGTCCTGAGCTCTTAGTATCATCTCTCTTGTGGTTCCTGCTATGCCGGTAAACGCAACCTGCGAACAGGCTTAACAGTCTCCAGGCTATAACGGAGGAAGAGCATGAAAACTCTAAGTAGAGCTCTGGTTCAGGGCTTTAGGTTTTCTTAAAGGGTAGGGGCAGGGCCGTCTCTGCACACAGGGGTGAGGTCAGAAATCTGTCCATGTATGATCCCATCTACCGAACCCTAAAACCTACTACGTCTTAACTGAACTTGAAACATGAATATCTGGAAGCCTGAAACGGGTCTACTAAGACGACAGCCCATTTGAAACGGGGTCTCCGCGGCTTCACGGGCTTCTTAATAGTGACCACAAGGGAAATTTTAAGGTCCTTATGTATTCTCTGTATACCACTATTGCTGGGTGGGGGCCCAACCTAACATGGAACTACAGCTCCATGTGAGCTATCGTCCAAACTCCTCGTATCCCCCCTAACATCCCCCGCAGTAGTCCGCTATATAATCCCCTATATAACACCCCTTTAAGGAGTTTAGACCCTAAACTCTAAACCCTAAATTCTAAACTCTATGTAATCCCCTGTATAACCCCCTTAACTAGTTAAGACTACAGCTCCATGTTTACTTGGTGATCGGTACACCCAAAACTTGTGAAGCCCTCTCAACTCCTGAAGGCAAAGGTTGAAAAAAGGCCCAAACTCACATACATAGTTTAGGGTTTAGGGTTTAGGGGAAATCTTGCACCACCTAGGGGCCCTAAACTACTGCAATTCCCAGAACTCTAGGGGCTCAAGGTGGTGCAAGACTCCCTCCATCAGCATTATTACTGCCAGCCATAGTAATCATAACAGTATACTATATCGATACGTAAAAGTAATAAGTATAATAATGGTAAGAGTAGTGGTAGTAGTAATGCAAATAGTCTATCAGGATTACTATTACCATTGTGATAAATGTCAATACGATTAACATACTGCACTGTTATTCTTGACATGACTATCACTTGCAGCACCCAAGCCGGGCTAGGTCTAAACTTTAGCTTGGCCAGGTCTCATAAACAGCAAAAACAGATAACTAGAAAACGCTCCAACTAGAAGCCCCAAGCCCCATCAGTGAAGAATAAAAGAAGCGCTGTTGACACCCAAGCTGCGAAGAGGGACACGTCACACCCACGCACCACAATGCCTCGGCAAGAATCTGGGAGGGCTTCCCAGACCCCCTAAAGGATCCAAAAAATGGAACCCCCTAAAAATCCCCTAGTTTCCCCAATGTAGTACTGGGTTCATATTGGGGGGGGGGGT